TTCCTTTAGATTAAATTGGGATTGAGTCAAAGCACATTTCTCTCTAGGATCGCCATTACAGAGTATCTTTTATTGAGTTCAATACATGGACATGACACGTGACATTAATTACATACATTTAGAATATATTAGTTTATAGTTTTACACCAACGATTAGCTAAAAAATATTCTGAATTTTTACACTAAAATGTATCACAAATCAACACTTATCATTGAAGGAAATATACTTAGGTACATAAAATTTAGAAAACGAAACATTCTCCTTTGTGGTAAAATCTGAGACCCTCCAATGTTTCCTCATTGGAGGGCATGCCTAAAAAGGTAGATCATTAGTATTACTTGCACCATCAACATATTTTGGATTACTTGAAATTTCAATGATGTCATCCTGCTTATCTGACTTTTCAGCAGTTTCAGGAATTTCCCCTGACGTTTGCTTCATTTTTGACCATGCTGCTGTTAATGTAAAACTGCCTTCACCATTCTTCTTGCTTTGCCCTGAAATTTCCCCCTTCTCCTCTTGCTTTGTATTGGTTGTCGTCTTGTTTGAATACCAATCTGCTTGACATAGCTTTTTCAGAATTACTTTCTTCTCATTTTCAAGGAGGCACTTTCCACCCAACAGAGCTCTAATTTCAGTTGACAAAGTATCACAAAGCATAAATTTTTTTACACTCTCTGCCTTATTCCTCCTCAGCTCTTTCATCTGCTGTAGATTTAAGACACTTCGGTGGAGTTTCGTGTGAATCCACTGTGGCAGTGGATCGATTTTCATTTTTTGAGCTAAATAGTTACTGTGGCATGTAATTGATGTTGTGAAAGTATTTATTTTGTTGAATTTAAAAAATTGTTCTCTCAGGGGCTGTTTTTAACCACCTCACTATAATTTTCAGCTTGGTTGCCATGGTAACAAAATGCAGAATCCTTCATATTTTTCATGTTTTTTACCAATATACTGCTGTCCCTCCCCTCCCTAATATAAAATAACGATACAGACTCATCTAGAGATGATTTTGCAGCGGATTTACGTGGCAATTATGCGCATAGATGCGTTTTTTAAGAACTAGTGATTCAAACAGAACAAACTCGAAAATGTGTTTCAATATTTAATAAATATTGATTACTTTTGTGCATATATTTCTTAACATATGGTTAAAAATAACTAATAATGGTTCACAGAAAACATTAAAACGAAACTTTATTCACTGGGGTGAAGAAATGCGCTATAAAGACGACGATAAAACGTGAACACATTCAAGCAATAATTGGCATTATTTCAATGCCAAATGTTAACAGTCATCTTCGATTTGGATTCTTGGGCATCTTATAAACAGATTCTTCAAAACGTTTGTTCTGATGAACTTAAAAGTTGTGGATGTAAGTATTTTTCTATCATTGAATGATTGATTCTAGTATACAATAACTCAAAACCAACACAGAAAAATTCATAATTAGTAATTATTGCAAATTTGCAATATTATGATATCAAGAGATCAATTTTCTCTATCCAATTTTGGTACAGATATCAATACATTATTTCTTGCTTCATTGTTATATTTTTTACTATTTTAATGCTTCTTGGTATTAATATTAATGAGGTTGTTTCTGTACTGCATTTTAGGTACTGTAATTACATGTCAAGGTGTACCAAGTTTGAGAGCTTGTTTTGGGCCAAATATGTTTACCGAGTGTACCACTTGCAGCAATAGGACAAGAATACAGTTACAGACAATGTTATCTTACAAAATCATGTAATTAATTGGTATTGACAATTGATTGTATACAAAAAACTGTGGTAAATGTTGGTCTGCATGTTCCTTTGGTAAGCACGATGAGAAAAAGCTCTATGAGAAGCAGAAGGGACAACCTATGAGGCTGGAGGCTTGTGAAGTGCTAAAAGTACTTCTAATGACGAAAAAATTAGGCTAAAGTCCCTGAAACCTGTCAGGAACAGCTCGAACAGTCGTTTAAAAAGTTTAACACTTGTTTTCTTGGAATGTACATTTTCCATCTTTGAGAAAAGATATCTCATGATGTATTTAACCAATTGTCCTCAAATTTTCAGGGCTCATTCTTTTATTAAAGCTGTCTTAATTAAGCATAGGAAATTGCTGTATCTTGTGTGGAATACATTTTATGACAAAAAGTATTATCGAAAAAACCTATGTTAACTTTGTACCTCTGCTGTGACCACTAGATCTATCATACAAAAAAGTTCTATGCTCATTTAAGATAATGATGCCTATACTACATACTGATAAAATGTCTTAAAATTCCAAGCAATTTATAAGCAGATATCTTTTCTCAAATGCACCCTAGTTTTGCACAGCATGTGGTATGATTGCCGGCCTGGTGTCAGGTTACAAAGGACGTTAGGTACTAGTGATTAGTATTTTTAGTTTCTATAGGTCATAAGCTTTCTACTGATATATAGTTTGTCATAACTCTGGTGAATATCTTTAAAATTACAGCCATTTCGAAAATGGCCATCAATCCATGTGTACCCCCCCCCCCTTAAATTTAAACCCACTCTCTCTTGCCAGTTGAAATAATTTATCACATGTGCTAAGGAGGGCTGGGTTATCCTTAGTCTAGGACCTGTATACGAGTTTGTATGCATTTCATTTAGGACAGGTAATCTCAACTGTTTTAGGGTAAAATGACCATGGCAGTTAACATGTGCCAAAACCTGAATCCGGGATGAAAGTCCTGAAAATGACCCCCAACGAAAACATGATTTCAGCCATATTTTGTCGTCTTGTTCGCTTTTTATCACCGAATCTGGCAAATATCATCCAGCTGTTGTACTTTTACATAAACATAAATGGCTGAAGATTTCCAAGGTTTCATCAGGTTTTGAAACAGTGCAGTGTATTTTATCTTCGATATTCTGTCCTTCGATGTTTTGTGAAATATGGCGCCATTCCAATGGCTTGCCGCTTCTCTGCCAGATAAATGCCACTTCTTCGTCCTCCTATGTATTTAGATTACAGCATCCAGAAGCAATTAATTGTAGAATAGTCCCCAAGGAAAACATTAGTTGCACTTTAAAGGAGAAAACCTCCCATAACAGTTGTCTTGTCAGAATTCAAAAGAAGTAATTTAAAAGTCACACGCAAGTTCATGAAAACGCCTCGTGGGCTACATGACAGGGGGTGAATATTTTCATTAAACGTTTGTTCGCCACCACAGCAACCTAACTAAACACACTATATTTATTGTATTTTTATGATTGATGATAAAAACAATAAATATTTGCGTATTTTTATCATCAATCATAAACATTCAATAAATATAGTAAATTTAGTTAGCCAAGTTTATAGGTTGCTGTGGTGGCGAACAAACGTTTCGTGAAAATATTCACCCCGTCATGTAGCCCACAAGGAAATTCGCGAACTTGCATGTGACTTTTAAATTACTTGTTTTGGATGGTTAATCAACAAGTGTTATGGGAGGTTTTCTCCTTACTATTCTACAATGAAGTACTTTTGGATACTGAAATCTAAATACATATGAAGGCGAAGAAGTGGCCATTTATTGGGCAGAGAAGCGGCGAGCCATTGGAATGGCGCCATCTTTCACGAAATATCGAAAGACATAATATCGAAGATAAAATACACTGCACTGTTTCAAAACTTGATGAAATCTTCTTTGAAATCTTCTTCAGCTATTTATGATTATGTAAAAGTACGACAACTGGATGATATTTGCCAGATTCGGTAATAAAAAGCAAACAAGATGGCAAAATATGGCTGAAATTGTGTTTTCGGGGTAAGTGAAATAAAATGTATTATATTTAATGAAAATAATGACAATCCTTATGAAATCCACAATAATTCTATTAAATTGAGCAGTTTTTCACCCCATGATATTTTTTTTAGGAAATAAGAAAATTTAATTTCTGCCAGGCATATTAGTTATTTTATGCATAATTAGCAATTTACCTGGGGTGGTGCATGGTCATTTTCTTGTCCCCGAACCGGCGGCGCGAAGCACCGTGTGAGGGTACTAATTCCCCCCGGCTATTTACACCCGGGGAAACGAAAGCATTAGCGAAGTCTAAAGTTCATCAATGAGCGCGGGCGTCGCTCACCAACGATGGGTGGTCATCCTCACTGATCTCAAAAATATGGCGGACTGTCATGAATAACGGACACTGATTGGTCCAATTTAAAGTTTGCATTATAACGACTGCATGACGACAGCGAAATAGCAAACATTTCTTGATTTGATGAGTTGATGATTGATAAATTTGTCAAATTTCTTGCAAATATTCTTCATTTTGCTCATATTTCTGCAAGATTTTGTAAATTTCAAGAAAGAAAGGGCCAAAGGATCAGCTAAAAGAAGGGAGCCGACGTTAACGAAGGTAAGTTTGTTTTAAATATTGATTTTATAATGGCTTTAAAACCCGACGGCCTTTGCGTATATGAAACAACTAAACAAGACAGCAATATATAAATTTCAGTGTAACTTTAATATTGATTCCCTTTTTTATTATATTGAATTTTTTAAATAAAAAATAAAGCAAAGACCAAAGTTATTTGCAAGCGAGAATTTGAAATCATTTTATTGCAAACTCAAAGTTTATCGATAAAGCCATTTAATAGTTAAAGCCTAAAGGCAGTTTAGTTTTATAAAAAAACGCTTTAAAACGTTTTGTGAATTGTTTGTGGTTGAATTTTACCTTAAATTGAAGCTTGTATTACGTATAATTACATACCTAACATATATATGTTGGGAAATTAATAATTTTGTAATTAAAAGTGATATTTTTAGGCGATTTTCATTTGTAAGAATATTCTTAAAAAATTATCGTGTTACCATGACAACTACTCTAGATACTTCCTGTTCGGAAAATACAACGATTTTGTCAGCAAGGCGAGGGTTTCTGCA